AAATTGGCGAGAACTTAAAAACCTTTTCGCTGATCATTATTATGTTTCCATGGAAATCAAAGTAAATTGTAATTATGCTTATATTAAGTTCTACTGCATGAACTTAGAGGAAAGACAAAGACCCACATGGAAATCCAATGAGCCAAAAGAACACAAAAGTTTTAACACTTGATCTTTAATTTACAAACTCCTGACATATATGCATGTTTATGCTCACCCTGTTTTCTTCAGTTTACTGGAAAATTAATATATTTTGCCGTGTACTTTTTTGGGTTCATCACAGTTCACCTGTTTTGTAAGGCTTAGATATAGTTTCTTCTGTTCTTATTCATTGTCAAGCAAATTAGAGGACTGGAACCAACTGGTTTGGTACAAGCAGCATCGATGGAATGTTGATTCCACATAGAAATTCCCATTGGGAACCAGTACGGTTCAGTTCTAAAGAAACTTGGACTGAATCACCTGGTGCCCACCCCTTCTAAAAGAGTCTTTAAAAGAACCCAAAAAGTTTTCTTAACATGAGCTAAAAGATATCTGTTAAACTATCTGAACTCACCTGGCCATCCATGCCCTTTATACCAGCTGCAGCTTCCTCTATAGTAGCATATCTTACAAAACCATAACCCTTGGAATAGCCAGATACACGGTCAGTCACTACTTTAGCTGCAAAAAGGGAAAAGACTGAGCCATCCATTATTTGGTTTCGAAACTATATAGGTGAATTCTTCATAGGAACTGAGAAATGGAAATACCAGGAGTACTTCACCAAACTTTGCAAAGGCATTTTGAAGCCCTTCGGTAGTTGTGCGTTTGCTAAGCCCTGAACATAAAATAAACAAATAAAGGTCCAGTGAAACTTGCAGACAGGTCTTCATCTCTAAAGACCAAAATATACACCGCACCACGAATAATGACAATTTATAATTACCAAAGGTAAACAGAAACAAGGAAACAAAATGAATTATGATTTATACAAAACAGCCCAGTGGATGGTGGGTTTTACTAATTTTGCATTAATGTAACACCACTACTTGGTTATGAAAAGCTAGTCGAAATGCTTCCATCAAGAAAAGAGGAGGAACATGACAAGGCTACCACCAGCAGCTTTCTCAGAAGTGTGAGAAAGCAACATGGATCGAAAAGATGAGCATAAATTAAGAACTAGCTTTTCCATAGCACACTAAATCTTTTCTGAACATCTAAGAACTGTTCGTTAAAACAATATGCATCCACGGAAAAAATGTGTAACCCATAGCCACTCGGATCTTCCAAATAAACACCGTGGATGAGAACATGTACTGAAAGTAAAAAAACTGAAATGCCAAGGACCAAACCACTCCAAATAAGTAAACTAAAAATAAAAAAAGGAACAAACTGGGTGTGCACATGAATACAAAACAAGATGCACGCCACTACTAAAATAAAGAGGGTGAAAATAATATATATAGACATCAGTTGCTTAATTGTGAAATGATTATTTCTCGATCCTATAATGAGCCTAAATCATCAAATTGATCATTATTCATTGCTAAGAAATTCATAAAGGGAGGAAATGGGGTATAAGAAACAGATGACAATTGAGTCTATATTCGTTTAGATATGAAAAGAGATGAAGAGCAAATAATATGCAGCTACACTCCCAACAGCTACCTCCAGATGATTGTTTATAGAAGCCTCTTTCCAAAGTTCATTCAAAGAAATAGTTAAGCCCTGCCTTGCAACATGAGCATGATTTGAATCAGCGATTTTTAATAACTAGTAGTAAGAACATGCGTTGCACGTCTTATGTATCGAATGAATGATGTGCGTAATATTTTTGATGTATTAACATTCTTTTTTAAAGTAAGTGAGGTATTTAATATTGTCAAAGACAAAATTAAAATTGTAAAGAATAATTTTATTTATTTTATTTATTTATTTATTTTTGTGCAATATGGAATTATGTATATAATGTGAGAATGTTGAATAAGGATTGATTGTTCTTATTTTTTCATTTCGAAGTTTGTATATTTTTTCTTTCTCAAGCATTGTAAAAATATCTCTTTCTTTTGCCACTTCAAAAATGAGAAAATTTTATTCTTCCCACTGGGAGGTCCAGATCAGGCTTGATACATCGATACCTATTTTCAATTGTGTGTTCATGAATACGTTTTAGACACTACTTTAGACTTAGGTTTGGTAAAAGTAGAACAAATAAAATTAATGTAACAAATAAAAATTATTTTTTTCCTCTTCGAACCTACGTCTTGAAACCCAGGCCTAGACTTGGTATATAGATGTCCTACCCAAAGACGACTCCACAAATTCATAAATATGAATAAAAAAGTAATACACATTTGCGTGAATATGCTGAGACAATAATATAATCGAGCTACCACATGCTTATGATGCCCCAAACGGATGTGTATATATATAATTAAAATAATTCGTGTTAATAGATAAATTTAAAATATAAATTTCATACAATTAAATCCATGGCATTAGAGATTAGATTGAAATGCAAACCAAGCTCAACTAATCGGCAAAAAAAGAAAAAAAAAAAAAAAAAAAAAAAAAAGAACTTTGCAACACTTGTCAACTTATAAGTAGCTTATATTTATCTTTTAGATGGTCAAGTCTAAAAGAATTAAAAAATAAAAATAGAGAGAAAAAAGAACTACGTTATTGTTTTAGTATAATAAATTTTTTTGTCAAAGATCAAAACAACCATTTTTTTTTTTTTAAGAATTAGTCTCATGCAAATTGACTAAGATAAAATTCCAATGTCCAACAAGAATATACTAACGTATATAAGTATCATTTAGGCTATTTTCGAGTTTTGAGAAATTATAACCCACAAGAAATTGCTTTCATCGACAATGGTTGTTAATTTTAGCTCACATCAAGTTATTTTCATTGACAAGAGTTCTAAAATGAGAAGGGTTGATTTTTATAGCTATCATAATCTTAATTATATTTATTAAAAAATGAATGTACTAACACAAAGCAGCTCTGCATCACCCTCTCAATTATATACATTGATGTTCAATTTTGTAACCTCAATTAAATAATAACTTAATGAATGGATTATAATATAAATCATGAAGATTAACAAAGACTTTGTTGATGAAAAATAAAAACTCAATGGATAAATTATAATGTAAATCATGAAGATTAATAAGGGTTTTGTTGATGAAAAATAAAAAAAAATTCTTTGTTGATAGAAAATAAAAATTGTAAGAACAAAATATTCAATTGAATGATAAGTCACTAAATTTTCGTTGATTTATTTTTAATAATTTAATATCAGTTTCACTCCTTATATTAATTCCAACCCAAATGATAAATATCAATTAAATATTTTACCACTTATATTAATTTTAAATCAAATGATAAATATTAATTAAATTGGTAGTAAGGGCTTTGTTGATGAAAATTAAAAATTGTAAAGAAAAAAATAATTGAATGCTAGTAATTGAATTTCCGTGTGTAATTTCTTTTTTATTCATTGAATGTCCTCATTAATATATTAATGCAACCTTTAAAATATTTGTAACTTCAATTAAATAATAAATTAATGGATGAATTATAATGTAAAGCATGAAGATCAAAAATTGCTTTGTTGATGAAAAATAAAAACTCATTGCATGAATTATAATGTAAATCATGAAGATTAATAAGGGTTTTGTTGATGAAAAATAAAAACTGATTCGTTGGCAGAAAATAAAAATTGTGAGAACAAAATTGTCAATTGAATGGTAAGTCACTGATTTTTTTCTTTTCTTGATATAATTAAATGTTAGTTTCACTCATTATATTAATTCCAATCTAAAATGATAAATATCAATTAAATATTTCACTCCTTATATTATATTAATTCTAAACCAAATGATAAATACTAATTAAATTGGTATTCCAATTACAATGGTATAGCGGACATATAGTTAAATATGTAGGGGTAAATTTGGTATTTAAAGTTTTTCCACCATCTCCACTTTTAATATATTGTAGATAAATATTAACTTTTATATAGTTTTTGGTTTATCATGAGCATGATTTGTCGTTTTTGTAAATTTTTAAATTGTTTCAATGGATTATGTTGAGATCGAGGTTATGCGGAAAAATCTTCACTTAGGCTTTTTAAACACTGGCCATGTCCAAAATGAACTGTTTGACAATTCAAGTTGGACATCTTAAATAATGCAGTCATGCATACTGGCCTTAAAGCTAAGATGGTTGGGCAGGTTGTCAGGGAAGCTATATATATGATAATTTACTAGCTATCAGAAGAACCAATCCAGTTTTCTACAATGTGTTTCAAAGGCATCGCAGGTCAATCAGTAAGTTTTAACAAGAATACAAATTTTATTCTGCGCTGTTCTTTAAAAGGCATTAATGAGAGATTAAATATGATAGTTACAACCCGTTAATCTTACATTCTTAATGACCTAGTCGCAAAGCAGCAAACATAAACTCCGACACCTACCCACTAGACTGAACCGACTAGTGAATATATAATGTGCTCTGATAGGTTCCGCCCTTGTTAAAAGGAGAAAACTCTTGTGAATTGGGGAATTATATCCCTTAACATTTTTGCCATAAATTAAACCAATGTATCAATTAACATAGCAATTTATACCAATCATTAAAAACATACATAAAGTTAAAGCTAAGAAAGGGAATTTGGAGAAAGACGAAGCTATATGTACCCGAAACGAAGAGATTTGTGGAAGGTTCGACAGGAGGTGCCTTCTCTGTTTGAGTCTGCGGTAGATTAAACGGAAAGCCTGAAGTAAACGACGAATATAGAGCCCATAGACCTCTAGGTGCCAACGCCGACGTCGTCTGGACTGCCGCTGCTCTCATCGCCATTTGTCGGGGTCTATGCTGCAACTGGGGTTTTAGCAAGAATTCTAGAGGGAGAAAATGGTTGGAGAAGTTGACGTGGCAATTTAAAATATGCCCCAAAAAGCTGACGTGGCAGTACGTAATTGGAGTGATGACAAGTAGTGACAGATTGACAGCAGTGCACTGAACCGGAGAAGAAAGTATACGGTTTAACAAGCCCAACCCGGACGGCCCATTCCATAACCACCAACTTTTACCCATTTTCTATTACTAATCCTACTCTGTTCAACAGAAGAAGAGTAGATTCTGCGGAGGATTCCCCATTATCAAATCCCCAAATAATCGATCCCACAATTTCCATTTCCAAAACCCTAGCACCTCATTCTATTTATTTTCTGGTAATTATTCTGATCTGTTGAATTTTATGTAATCTCCTTCTTCTCATAGCGAGGTTTCCTTAATTCCTATGTGAACCTGTGAATTGGGTTTTATTTTATTATAATTTATTATTCAATTTTATTCCTTCATTTTTTGTCAATTCGATCTGATATATTCTAGATTTTTTTTTAGGACTAGTTTATTAGTCTTCGAGCTTCTGCAGTGTTGAGAGTTAAAGCAAAAGATTTGGTGTTTTTTAGTTTTGCAAGTTTAGTTTCTGATCGTCATTGTGTAAGGAGCAAAATTCAAAATACAGCGACCAGGATCAGGGGGCGACTTGCCCCTAGTTGGTGAGTTCAACTCATTCCCAGTAACGAGGAGGGTCAACTCCTTCCAATCTGTTCCAATGGATGATGATATGGAGGGCGGTAACTTGGGGCCTTACCAAGAAAGGGCAAGGGTATTCCCTAACATGCGGACTAGACCATATACGCCCTTGGTAAGCCCATTTACATCTTATTATCTTCAACTTAGTGACACTTTCTGTGCCACTGGCATCATTATAAATGTGATTTTACCTTTTACCAGCAATGCTTGGATTTTACTTCTTTCTTCCGGAAATAGTTCTTTTTTCTTTTTCAGTTGCATTCTCCTTGTCTTTTATTCATTTTAGGTTCTTGTTACTCTTTTAATGCAGTAGCATAGCAGCATTGTGTCCCTTGCCTGGATATAAACATCTGATTATAATATGGTAGTACAATAATATTTTATTAACCTGCTCTCAACTATTTTTAGGATTTGCCTTTTAGGACATAATGTGCTGATGACTATTATCTGTGACACTGATGATTCTTTTCTATACACATTTTGAAAGAATAATGGAATGTTTCTATATACCCAAATCATGCTTAATGTTTATTAGGAGGGTAAGGCCGAATATATGACAAAATGCTGGTGATAATCATTATTACCATTTTTATTGAAAATGCTGCATCTTATGTTTGATGACAAAGGGGAATAAGGATACAAGATTCTAGCATAGATTTCTCTTTAGATGAATTAGAACCATATCATTCTTGGTTGGCTATATAATGCGTTTTAGTACTTATGTTAATTTTTTACTTCAAGTGAGAATTAAAATTTAGTACTTGCTGTTTACACTTGGAAAATCAAAATGAGTATATGGAAAAAGTACACTTGGCAACATGAAAGTAGTCCATCAAACAATCATTTTGAATGTCTTGTTTGGGTATTGTTTGAAATGATGCTCACACCTGATATTGAGTTGTGAATTCCACTTTGAGAACCTCTGAGAATCTTTTTTTCTAAAACTAGTAATTCAGTTATGTGAAATCAAATACAATTTCATTTTCTTAATTCCTTATCCATTTCTTTATAGGGAATGCCATTATTTATTATAAGATCTGAGTCAAAAATCTTTGGTTGCTCTGCTACCCATGTCAAGTCTCAAAAACCCTAAGAATTTCAGCCGATGAAGTTTGATGTAAAATATCTACTTGTTTTTGTAATTTTTTGCTACTGCTTAACTGCTGAATTTTTCTTCTATTTAATGCAGCCTTTTACTTTCTTTTTTGCTTTTGGTATTGATGATTGAGCACTTGCTTTCTGCAGATCTTTCGCCTCTTCATGAGAATAAATATTCGTGTTCTTTTTGTGCTTATGCTCTTGGGACTTGGAGCTATCTTTTATATTGGTGCGAGTACCTCGCCGATCATTGTATTTGTCTTCTTGGTTTGCATAATCAGTTTTCTTCTGGCAATATATCTTACTAAGTGGGTCCTTGCTAAGGATGAGGGACCTCCTGAGATGGCCGAGGTATAGTTGTTCTGAACCAGACAATAATAATTTACCGTTTTCAAATTATAACTTGAAGGCTGTTGATAATTCTTGGATTTTCCTCAATATTCATGTATGAAATTGACGGACACCACCCAAAAAAAAAAATAATAAATAAATAAAATAACACATATGAAATCATTTCCCTGTAATTGAGCTATATGCCTTTTTCTAGTATTTGTCAGGCGTATGTGTTTATAAATTTAGGGTCCCTGAAATTTACATTTAGTTTTTCACCCAGTTCCACTTGGTTGGGATCTACCACCTATGAAGTTTTACTTGGTTTCCTCTACCTAGGGAGCTATGCCAATTGACAAAAAGGAATACATGGCTCTACATAACGTTAACTGTTTAAAAGATATATGTTGTTGAGGCAACCTGTTGGACCTTTCCTAATTGCGAGCTTGGGGGCCCAAATTGGGTATATACATGATACATGAGTACTTGCCTACTTGTTAGTAATGGACTTGTGGATCTGTGCTTGGCTTCTTTAAATGCATTTAGTGCTTGATGTCTGATTCGTAGTTCGTATTTCCCCTCGGAAGATACGAATTTGAAAATTTATTGTTAGTTCCTACTTATTTTTCTCCTTCCAAGTGAATGTAAAAGGGTTAGCTGCCTAGGAATTATGTTCAAGCTTATCTAATTTCCAAAATAAATAAATAAAAAAAGGGGTCTTTTAGTTCGTCCAGTTAATTAAGAAATTTGACATATTAAGGAGCCATGCTAATGCATACACGTTGATATTAGGGTTTTGACGAGGATGGAATGCACAAATAGAGAGGTCCTAACATTCACCTATCAAAATATTACCTGCTAGATTCCTGTGTCTGAGAAATTCTTATACCTTTCTCTCTTCATTATGCTAACCGCAAACTCAGGTTTTCCTGTGATATGAAACTGATGCCATATTGGTGTACACTGAAATAAGCTGCTGTTTCTTCTCCTTATCTGCTTTGTGTATTATATATACATGACCTATTGTGCATAACTAGGGGTATCTTCATGTTTTACACTGCCAGAGAGTCTCACAGGCACTTTACTAATTTTCCTTCTTGCTTAATGCCTGTTAATTTGTAGTTAATGGGTTTTAGTTTTCTCCATAAAGTAGTACACTAACACCTGTTACAAGTATTGGATTTGAATGGAACTTATGACAAGAAACCTTTTTTAATATCATCTTAAAGTATTTTTTATTTTTATCTCAGTGGTCTTGAGCTTATCATTTTACTTGCTAGATATCAGATGCTATACGTGATGGGGCCGAAGGTTTCTTTAGAACCCAGTATGGAACTATCTCAAAGATGGCTGTGCTTCTAGGATTGGTGATCCTCAGCATATACCTGTTTCGCGGTAAAACGCCTCAGCAAGAATCTTCTGGCCTAGGGAGGTGAGGATAGAATGACTTAAAATTTGGGATATGGTTTTCAACTTTTCATGTACAATAAAAGGTGTTTAAATATAAATAGTAAATTTGGGCTATACTGATGCAGGTCAATGTCGGCATTTATTACTGTTGCTGCTTTTCTTCTTGGGGCCTTGTGTTCTGGCATTGCTGGTTATGTGGGGATGTGGGTATCTGTTCGTGCAAATGTAAGAGTCTCAAGTGCTGCAAGGCGATCAGCAAGGGAGGCATTGCAGGTTTCTTTTTTCTTTGTTTCTCCCTATATATATTTTCTCTTCGCTTTCAACTGAAATGCATTCAGACACTGACTTCAGTTGGCATTATTCTCTTGCAGATAGCTGTTCGTGCTGGTGGTTTCTCTGCCCTGGTAGTTGTTGGTATGGCTGTCGTTGGTATTGCTATACTTTATGCCACTTTTTATGTTTTGTTGGGTGTAGATTCACCAGGGGCAATGAAGGTTACTGACTGTAAGTTTTCAACTCCTATCCTATACTTTTGTCAGATGTTAATAATTGCTTCCTTTTATGCTCTTGGATTCCAAATGTTTAATGTCCACAGTTTGACTCTTAGATTTCTCTCCCAGTGCCTCTTCTTCTTGTTGGATATGGTTTTGGAGCTTCATTTGTTGCCCTTTTTGCTCAATTGGGTGGTGGAATATATACTAAAGCAGCTGATGTTGGAGCTGATCTTGTTGGAAAAGTAGAGCAGGGAATTCCAGAAGATGATCCTCGTAATCCTGCTGTCATTGCAGATTTGGTATAAAATCTTCCTCGTATAACTTCTCTGTCAAGCACGTATGCTTGAGTGTTGCTTGCATGTTTGTGGAGCAGATGCTGATGCGTTTATTCAAAGTGTCAAAGTTGTTAACTTTTCTTATGCTCATTTGATCAGACATTCTATATTATTGATATATCTTGTATTTTGATTCCTTCTTGTGCATTCTTCCACCCATTACCATGGTTAATTTCACTGTGTGCTATGTCAAAGGTTGGAGACAATGTTGGCGACTGTGCAGCTCGGGGTGCTGATTTGTTTGAAAGTATTGCTGCAGAAATTATCAGTGCAATGATATTAGGTGGAACGATGGCACAACGCTGCAAACTTGAAGGCATGTAACTGACGCATTTGCAAATATTTATTATTGAATTTATTTTGAAAATTATTGGTACAGTTGGCGATTCACTTTCTCAAGGATGTGCTCATGAGGGATATCATGCGTTGCATTTTTTAGATTAGAGATTACTTTCATATAGGTTATCATTTTTACCCTTTATTGATTATTTTTCTCCTGGAATATGTGGAAATTCTGTTTGTATCACACGTCTTCCTCCCTCCATTTCAAATTAAATGGCTGAGACTTTAAAAAAAAAATAAAAAAAATCAAATAGTTCCGATATTGATGCATTTATTTTTGTATATCCAAATATTTTGAAATGGTAGTATTTCCTGATAAATGTCTATTGTAAATTTTAGAAAATCCTGAATTGGTTGAAAAAGTCAAGTTCGACATTCATTTTGACATGAAGGGAGAACTAAGATTATAATTTCTCGTGCACAATTGAATATGTTGATGGCTTAGAATTCTGATCTTCAAGGTGTTCAAAATTCTTGTCAAGGAAAAATAGGAACGAAAATTGCTATATATTGTCTGCCTTGGCAAATAAGCATGCTCATTTCATACTTGATTCTGGTTTCATTACTTATTATCACATCATGTCAGCACTCTCCCTTTAGCTCACCCGTCTGAGAGCATGTTCCAAACTTGGTTAACATGTGGTGGTTGCTTGCCATCTATGGAATTTATATTAATAGAAGTGAGGAGAGCCATGGTTATCTACATTGGCTTTTCTCATTGGATAATAATCAAATTCCATAAAGAAATGATATTCCAACATTTTCCCACTTTCCCTGCAAGACCATTTTCATTGAAAAACCAGTTTCTGGGGTTTAGATATTAAATTTTCTGGTTATATCCTTTGCTGTGATTTTGTTGCTATTACTTTATTTTTGGGATGCTTTTTAATTCAGCTATTTGTCTTATTTTCTTAAGATGGAGAGTAGGTTAGCCTTGCTATGATAGATGAGTATAGTGTCACATGATGATTATTCACTTGTTCCTTTGCTGAATGAATTATATTTGACCTAAATCTTTATGTGATACATGCAGATCCGTCAGGCTTCATTTTGTTCCCCCTAGTTGTTCACTCATTTGATCTGGTGATATCTTCTATTGGAATATTTTCTATTCGGAACACATATGACTCTGGTGTGCTTGGTGCTGTAGAGGATCCAATGTCGATTCTGCAGAAAGGATATTCTGTGACAATTGTTTTAGCTGTTCTGACATTTGGTTTGGTAATATTTCTATCTACTATTGGATCATCACCCTCACCTCCCTAGTGAATCTTGATTGAGATTGCCCATTATACTCTCTCTCTCTCTCTCTTCCTCTCCCGTTTGTGCATTTTGAATCATCATTTACATGCTGAAGCTGGTGTTCGCTGTTATTGTTGCAGTCTACTCGCTGGATGCTATACACTGAACAAGCACCTTCTGCTTGGTTGAACTTCGCTTTATGCGGGTTGGTTGGGATTATGACAGCATATGTTTTTGTCTGGATCACAAAGTATTACACTGACTACAAGCATGAGCCTGTACGCATGTTAGCTCTTTCTAGCTCCACTGGGCATGGAACTAATATAATTGCTGGCGTCAGTTTGGGTCTGGAGTCGACAGCTCTTCCTGTCCTTGTGATAAGCATAGCAATTGTTTCAGCTTACTGGCTGGGTCACACTTCCGGGTTGGTGGATGAATCTGGAAACCCAACTGGTGGGTTGTTTGGGACAGCCGTTGCAACTATGGGAATGCTCAGTACAGCAGCATATGTGCTTACCATGGACATGTTTGGTCCAATAGCTGATAATGCAGGTGGGATTGTTGAAATGAGTCAGCAGGTAATTTTTCAGGTTCTTGGCTTTGGCCAACCCATTACATCAGCTTTTAGCAGTTGTGACTCGTGATTTTATCATAAGTGAAGCTTGTGACATGCCTTCTATTACTTACAGCCTGAAAGTGTTCGAGAGATCACCGATGTTCTCGATGCAGTTGGAAATACTACAAAAGCTACGACCAAGGGATTTGCCATTGGATCTGCAGCCCTTGCATCGTTTCTTCTATTTAGTGCTTATATGGATGAGGTAGCTACATTTGCACATGTACCCTTTAATCAGGTGGGCTTGTTGTTATCTGTCAATTTTATCTTTGATTCTTTAAATTTTGTTTAACGGAAAGAGTTTTTTCTTCTCTTTATTCATATTTTTTTTGCATTTTCTCTGAGCAGGTTGACATCGCTATCCCTGAAGTTTTTGTTGGTGGACTTCTGGGCTCCATGCTTATATTTCTTTTTAGCGCATGGGCTTGTTCTGCAGTGGGTCGAACTGCTCAGGAGGTTGTTAAGGAAGTAAGAAGACAGTTCATTGAGAGGCCAGGCATCATGGTTTGTATCATAAACATTTATTTGGCATTCTTTATGTTGTAAAATGGATCTCAGATCTTAGTGGTGTATTATTTTTCATCCTGGTAGGATTACAAGGAGAAACCAGATTATGGTCGATGTGTATCTATCGTTGCATCTGCTTCTTTGAGGGAGATGATAAAGCCTGGGGCATTGGCCATCATATCACCTATTGTAGTTGGTGAGTTATTGACCACCCTCTGAGTTTTTGATAATTGATTATACTTTGAGAAAACCGCAAGCCAAACGATCCAACTTTCAGGCATCATGATAGGTTTCAGGCGTGGATGAAACATATTCCCGTTCTTTAAAATATGCACTTTTAAAAATCTGGAAAACGGACGGGTTCTTAAAGTTTCTATTTGTAAAATAGATTCTTTTAAAAGCAAAGAGCAAGATAACTCTATTTCAGAATGTAGAATAAAAATTATGATTGACAACCAATAGTTAAGATGCATGGATATTTTGTAAACTCATTACGTACCTGTATCTGATACATATCCAAACTTGGATACTCTTCGATACCCTCCGATACGTATCAGATAAACGTTTATTAATTATTTTATATATTTTTATATTTTTAAAATTTTTTATACATATCGGATACGTATTTTTTGATTATTTTATATCTTATATTTATTTTTGATACGTATCTGGTATGTATCTTTACTTATTTTAATAATTTGTTGAATATTAATAGTATTTATTGAAAATACACAATTATTATATTAAAAAAAATTAGATCTCTATTCAAAGAGAGAATCCAAAATGTGAGATATTGTCGGAGACTCATTTGATACCCTTAAAGGTGTTGGACTACTTGATATTGCTAATCTATCATTAGATGAGCTAAGTTGAAGAGTGTTATTTTAATGATAATGAAGAAGCTATGTTGAAGAAAATGAAGTTCGGACAATTAAGGATTAAGATAAAATGCTTTAATATTATATTATATTTTTATTATTTATGGCCCCGTGTGATTTTCATTTTTATCAAAATACAGTTTTCTCTTTTTTTTTTAACTACACATTCTTCATTAAAATAATATTATATGTAAATTAAAAACTTTTCTTTATTTTTCATCCACACATTCTTCATCAATCTATTATTCTAAAATTTATTTTCCCATAAAAATGGGTGTCAAACACCGACTATGCTTCAGTTTTAATGCTTTGTTATATTAATGAAATTATGTTGAATTTTAAAATACGTGTCTGCTTTCCTAATTTTTTTGAAAAAGTTGTATCGGCGCACCCGTACTGTATCCAGCGTATCGTATTCGAATTACGTATTGGTATGCGTGCTTTTTAGACCAGCAGTATTACTTATTTGAGAGGGTAAATAAAAAAGATAGCATGCAATACGACAAACAGGTTTTTAGCGTAAGGCCTAGTTTGCTTGACTGATATTTTGCATAAAGCTTATGATATTTATCTTTAAATTATGCTGGCACTAAAGCAAATAAAATGATATTTTTGGCTCATTGGAAGATTTTGAAGATACCGAGATTCCTGCATCTTATTTGGCTTTATGTAGGTCGTACATTTGCAATTTTTTGCGACTTTTTATCACTTGTAATTTTCTGATATTCGTTCTTATCGTTCTGGTTTCCCTTATAAATCTTACTTAATTTCATATAGCTGAGGGAATATGCCATGTAATTTTGCAGGTTTGGTGTTTCGGGTGCTGGGATATTACACAGGGCATCCACTACTTGGAGCCAAAGTGGTGGCTGCCATGTTAATGTTCGCCACTGTTTCTGGTATTCTCATGGCTCTTTTCCTGAACACTGCTGGAGGCGCCTGGGATAATGCGAAGAAGTACATTGAAACGGGCGCTCTTGGTGGCAAAGGCAGTGACTCCCACAAAGCAGCAGTTACCGGTGACACGTAAGTTTTAACATGTATTAAGTGTGGTATTATCAGTAGTTGTCCCGTTAGCTGTATAGCATGTTCATGCACACTCTATCTTGTTCCCACCAACACATGTTCGATTGGAACAATAATTCACATTACCTAATCTAGTAATCAGGATTCTGAAAAAATCGAATTACTATTTGAAAGTTTGGTCATAAACATTTTTTATGCTTTTATCTTTGCAGGGTAGGAGATCCATTCAAAGACACTGCTGGACCATCACTTCATGTACTTATCAAAATGCTTGCAACAATAACCCTTGTCATGGCTCCTATCTTTCTATGAGAGAATTTCAAGTCTTGCGAAATATACGACATGATTTGCTGAAACTTTTATGTACACTTGCTGGTTTTGATGTAATTTGAGGGACCCTAACTAAAAAAATGTTCAGTACTTACTATTTTTCCCTAGCTTAATTTGAATAAGATATCTTTTTCAAGTGGGACATGTTAGAAGATAGCGTGCCCAGATAATTGCAAGAGCAGTTTTGACTCTGCTTAAAAGAGTTAAAAGCAAGTGTTTTTCAAGAAAAACTTGTAGCATATAAGGTCCAAGTCTACAACGAACTCTAGTACCTCGTAACTACAAGTGTTATTGGGACGTCTAGAAAGTTTGGACAATGCTATGTGTACACAATGGTGTATACATTGCATTACACTCCCCTCACATGTAGGGGGCGTCCACATACAATAAAATATTTGTGGGCCTCCTTCCATGTGAGAGGGGTGTAGGCCATTTTGTACACCATAAGGTGTACACAGCAATATCCAGAAAGTTTTTGTAAGATCAACAGAGGAACAATGCGTGGAGAATTCAATTTAATAACAGGTAACTCTAGGTTACCTTGTTACGAATTCATCTTGGTCGAAGATTCCACCTTACTGTACTCTCTCTTTCCTTTTTTGCCCCCCCCCCCNGCTTTATTCGACCTGGTCAGATTAATAAATTGTAGTGAATAAACAAGAATGTCGAAGAGTATTATAATTAAGTTACTTGAGTTGAGCTGTTTTTTAACTTAAATTTAATTACTAGAAACTAACTAATTAATATATCAATAAGATTCACTTTAAGTTAATTATAGAGATGGTTAAAAAATAATGTGATTGAAAAAGAATGAAAAGTTTTCGAGTTACGTATAATATTATTTTATGAAAGATTGTGTTGTTGAAAATAAAAGGAAAAAAAAATGAAAGAAAATGGGGGTCCAACATGGGCTTAATTTTTTATTTTTCAGGTCTGAGAACTTTTGTCATTTCTTCCATCATCATGAATATTGAACATTATCTTCAAAGGTACTTTTGTCGAACAACAGATTCTACATATGGCTGTAGCAATGAATCGAAAATGTAAGGAAGAAAAATATTTTTGTGGTCGACTGAGAAACTGTGCTCACGTTAGATTTTGGTAAATAATAAATTCGATTTTTACACTAGGAATAGTTTTGAAAACTAAACTTCTACGGACAGACGTGTCTATCTTTCGACAATTTAACCTTTTAGACAATATAATTAAACATTAAAGAAAACTATCTAAAGGCTTAATTTATTGTTGTATACACGTAAGGGTTTGATGAGTGCAACAAGCCACAAGGAATTCTAAAACATTTTATAGAATACAATAATTGAGTATTATTCTTCTATTGTGCTTAAAAAAAGTTCAAAGTAGTTTTCATTGATGTATGGTGCAGCTTTAGGTTTTGACAACTACATATTATCTGCCAAATTCCAATGCCATTGCCAATGGAAGTCTAAAGAAGAAAGTAGACCTGTATAAACATTAACAAGAGTAGTTTTCATGCTAATTTTTTAACTATTCTTTTGTCAACTTATGCCTCCTCATCAACACATACACACATAAATGTGTGTGTATTTCACTTTCGGCGTGTTAGGTATGAATTATGAAGTATTAAATCATACTGGAGAGCAGGTCCAAAAAGGGGGGAAAAAAAGAAAAAAAAAAGAGCGGAAATCTTACTATCCCAAAGCACATGAAGATATGGGAGCGAGTTTAGTTCTCATTGGAAAGAAATCCATTAAGACCCTCGTTTAGTAGCCATTTTTTGCAAAATGTATTTTTCTCTCTTTTTTTCAACCACACATTCTTTAATAAAATAATATTACACGTACATCAAAATTTTTTCCTTATTTCTCAACCACACATTTCACATCAATTTACTATTCTAAAATGCATTTTTACGTAAAAATGCTCATCAAATACCCCCATAAATATTCCTTTTGTTTCCTGCTTGACTTAATTGGCTCGGAGGAATTCTCCTTCTTTCACCTTCTCATGTTCGAGTCATATTGTGTCATATACAGTTTGACATACAACCGCACTCGTTATGTTTTTTATTTTGGTTGTTTTCCCACCAGAATGCATATTCAAAATTAATTCTGAAAAATGGCTGCATGCTCCATGTTGGAAGGACATGGACATCAACTTCTCAATTGGATAATAATTATTTCTACTACCTGATTAAAAATAAGGGTTAAGTGAAGAATCTTTGCATATTCTACTCAACAAAATATAAAACTAATAATCATATGAGACATGCTGCAAATATTTATACACATCACTCTTCAACTAACACTGCCAAACTTGTCTCAATACCCTTAAATTATGTATTTTTGACTTGATCATCCCCATTTCATTTCATAGTTAGTCCCAAATTCAAATAAACGAAGAGATGTGGATTTAAAGAAAGATGGTGCAATGTGACTTATTAGAAAACTCTTTCACAAAAAGTAAAAGTAAAAGCATAATGAAACAGGATCTATATTACTTATAAATATAATTTGAACCCACAATTTTTGTTAGTTTCGATACCATGTTGATGTGTGTATATATATATATATATATATATAAGCATTGTGGAATTATTTAACAGAGGGGTGCCATGGAACTATTGCATGGATACAACACTTGCACTGTTTATGACATGTTTAATTTGGACCCCTCAACAAGCTGGGCCAAATGGGCCAAGACCCGACAAGAAAACAGGGCAGGTATCATATCCCTCACGTGTGGGTGGGGTTTTGAACTAGTCAAAGTCAACATTCCTCTTTCAGGTCACTGCCACACGTGCTAATGTCCACTGTCCAGTCAATGGCAGACACGTATGGAGTCACACACAGAGAGAATGGTGACATTTTCACATGATTTTTCAGCCAAATATCCGGAAAAGATGGTTGATTTGTTCCTTATTTAAATACATTTATTAATTTATTATTAATAACTTATTTAATTTCATGCTATGAGCATTATCCCCAAAATTAAGGGTCATCGTATAATTAATGTTTGTGAAGTCCCACCTTTGACTAAATCCTTTAATTTTTTTTTTATTATTTTTTTTTCTATTCATGACTATTCTGTTCTAGTTATGGCCCGGTTAATCAAACCAATGTGTAACTTAAGATTGCATTAAAACGTGTGAGCAAGCAATTTTAATGTGCAGTTAATTTGATTAGGTCAAAATCAAAATCATTTATCATAAACATTTGCAAGCTCATGGTATTAGTCGTACATTAAAGTCATTTTTTCTAGACAATGTTTAAAGTAACCTTTTAACTGCTCTTCTCGCTAACAGTTAAAAAGTCACTTATATAGATGGGTTTTAAGCACGGCCAAGCATGTATATGAACATTTTTCACCGAGTCAATACTCAACATCTAACCTCCTATTCAGATCCCTCTTTTATTCCATTTACTTTTTACGAATATCTTTCGATTTTGTTATCGTATTAAGAAATAGTTGATTAGTTGAAAGTTTTCAAACCTAACAATGTGTGGTGTGTGCTTATCCTCTCTTTAATTAATTTGGGAACCTTAATTAGACTACATTATTGTCTCAACTTAGTATTATTATCCACTAAATATACTTGTTTTCATTTACATTTTACGAATATCTTTCGATTTTTTTTATCGTATTAAGGAATGGTCGATTAGTTGAAAGTTTTCAAACCTAACAATGTGTGGTGTGTGCTCATCCTCTATTTAATTAATTTGGGAACCTTAATTAGACTACATTATTGTCTCCACTTAGTATTATTACCCACTAAATATACTTATTTTCATTTACATTTTACGAATATCTTTCGATTTTTGTTATCGTATTAAGGAATGGTCGATTAGTTGAAAGTTTTCAAACCTAACAATGTGTGGTGTGTGCTCATCGTCTCTTTAATTAATTTGGGAACCTTAATTAGACTACATTATTGTCTCAACTTAGTATTATTATCCACTAAATATACTTGTTTTCATTTACATTTTACGAATATCTTTCGATTTTGTTATCGTATTAAGGAATGGTTGATTAGTAGAAAGTTTTCAAACCTAATAATGTGTGGTGTGTGCTTATCTTCTCTTTAATTAATTTGGGAATGTCAATTAGACTACATTATTGTCTCAACTTAGTATTATTATCCATTAAATATACTTGTTTTCATTTACATTTTACAAATATCTTTTGATTTTGTTATCGTATTAAGGAATGGTTGATTAGTTGAAAGTTTTCAAATGTAGCAATGTGTGGTATGTGCTTATCCTCTCTTTAATTAATTTGGGAACCTTAATTAGACGACATTATTGTCTCAACTTAGTACTATTATCCACCATTATACTTGTTTTCATTTACTTTTTACGAATATCTTTCGATTTTGTTATCGTATTTAGGAATGGTTGATTAGTTGAAAGTTTTCAAACCTAACAATGTGTGGTGTGTGCTTATCCTCTCTTTAATTAATTTGGGAACCTTAATTAGACTACATTATTGTCTCAACTTAGTATTATTATCCACCAATTATACTTGTTTTTATAAGCTGTAAGAATAAATTATTGAAGCTAATTAGTGTCTCCATCGCCATCACCCTCATTGTTGGTTGTATTGTCTCAAAAAGCAAAACTAAATTTCACTATCACACTTAAAGTTATTCCATAGTTATATATTTGTGTCATCTTCAAAGCCTCATTTTCACCATTAATACTGTAGGAATGACTATGAATGACCATGACATTATATAATTCTTAATTTCATGTTTGATAAGATGGGTCGGCATAATAGTATTAAGGGCATGTTTGGCAAGAATTTTGAAAAGTCAAAAACTACTTCTGAAGCTAAGAATTTAATTTTAGATATGTTTATATAATTTTTTTTTTTGGAAGTGCTTTGTTTGTTTAGAAGGAGCTTATAAAAGAAATTAATTCAGGATGATTTCCTCAAAAAGCTCTTCTAGAGAAAATAGAAACTAAAGTAGAAAATTTGCTAAATTGAACTAAGAAAAATAAGTTAAAAAGTCTTAACTCGCTCCAATATAAGATTCTAGCTCCATTGCTGGTATCAAGCACACAATTGAGGAATTGGATAAATTATTTTAGGAAAATTCTACTTGTACATAATTATTGCACATAATGGTGTCCATAATGTGATGAGGAAATCATCCGATTGTTGATGTGCAATG